TCGACGGTCGGTTCGACGATTTCGTGGATCAACGTACCAGACTGACATGAGAGGGCGGGAAACTCTTTGGGCAAGGAAGGCCGATATTGACTGATACTTTGCTATGCTAAATAACTACCTTCGTTGCAAGTGCTATATATAAACCAGAGCTCAGGCGTGCTGTACCTCATATTTTCTGACGGAAGATCAAGAAGAGATTTATCTTTGAACGAAGGTGGATCCGTCATTGTCCATCTTCACTGTCAGACGCACGCCACATGCTTTATGTTGGTATATAGTGTGGCTTATGGTTCTGCGGATCATACGAACAATGCTGCGGATCGTTGGGGTCTCGTGCAATGTCTTTAGACGAAGGGCACATAGCTACAGACACCTGTATGTCATTGAAGACAGTGCTCTCGTTCTTTCGCAACTTTAAACGCTATACCCTCCACGCAAGACATACTTGATGCGGCTATTTCGAGAGTCACCAGACATAGCTAATGATATTGATGTCTACAGTTGGGGGCATCAGTATCGCATATACAGAAAAACGGCGGATTGACTGGCGAAGATTGATTTGAGCACAGGGGCTCTTTTCAAGGGCACGATTCCTCGGACAAAGGTAATGCCAAGAAGGCTATGACCTTTATGGACATTGATGTCAAGAAATTTGCTGCGACCTCTCGCGCCGAACACCACGTGCTACAGTGGCCTGCGCAGGGCACCGAGGAGCCTGATCGTCTCAAGTCGAGACCTTGTGTGACGGTACTCTTTTTTCATGGAATAGTATTGTCTCTTATATAAAGTAGTATTCGACACGGTAATTGTGTTGCCAATGGATGGATTATAGTGTTTCGTACGCGTACCTGAATACTTATTACCTTCTTACTAGATGTTTTGATTACATGCCTTGTCGATTTCACTGTCGCCCTCGCCGTAGCGCATTAAACCACTTCCTTTTGCTAAAGCCTTATATTCCTGTCGCTTATCGTACTTTTTAATCAGGTGTCCTTGGCGTTCTACCTTCAGACATTGACTCACATCCTATCTAGCGCACAGATGCTTTCCATTGCAAAATCTTTCAGTGGGGTGCTCTCCGTCAGATCGATCCGTAAAGCCGTTAGTAAGATGACGTATTAATCTTCTACTAACAATTTTTTTCGTGTCGCGGCAATTGTAAATACAGCGCTGTTACCGCGCAGATAGACATGATGAAAGTTAGCCGAATAAATTATCTGAAATCGCGCTGTTTGCCCCTGTTTGGATGAATAATTATAAAATGCGCTGAGATGCCCTTTTGTATAATTGATCTTAGTTCGGCAAAACCGAACCCTTGCCTTTTCAGAGCTTCAAATACCTCAAGCATTACAACTGGACCACTGTTGAAGTGTCACTGTATTTGAATTGTACTTTAACTCGACGTCGTGTCTAATGCCCCTCCACTGCATAGCTTGAAAGGTGTAGATTCATAAAAATATGAGTCTTTGCATTTCACCTAATCCTATATGATGTTTGCCATATGCATAAAACATGGCTAGGGCGTGTACCGATGATTACAAGTCTGATCATAAAAAAGCATTCGTCATATAAATAGCTGCTGATGACTCGTAAGATATTAGCGAGTACCACACACCACCGACCTAACGTCGGGTATTATCGTTGTCCCTAAGATATTGATCGTTCGATCTGCATTTTACCGCGGTCAATGAGACCTCTACAGAATGCGGATCTCGAAGAATCAGTTTGCAGTGTATATAAAAACTGAAAACGGTGTCGGTCAATTCAGTCTTTTGCATCGAATCACAACGAATCTCTTTAGGCTAAGTAAACGAAGCTTTGTTCATTTTTGATTCCATTAAAATGACAAAGATGTTTTGTGGACGCTTGACGATCGCGAACAGCTAGCTATAACAACGTACAAAACACTTTTCGTACTCATGCATCGCATTTTCTTCATTTGTTTGTGGAAATATCACAATAAAGAGAGAGAAACACAATGCATGTCATCGAAAAGCTGAACAAATTATAGGCACATTGCATTGTCGACACCACCAAAAACTTACATGTGCGACGGCAAGTGGCCGGTGTCTGCAAAGGTGGTTTTAATGTCGAATCATTTGTGCACCAAAAATTGCACTGTCCATGTAGTGTTTGAATGCGAAAACCGATCAAATTAAGCGCATTAGCGTCTATGCGTAATCTGTTTATGACCTAGACGCTGAAGGCATCACGAAAAAGTTCTTCTGGGGACTAATTGCCTCACATTCATACAAAAAGAAGAATCATGCTTTTTTTTAGCTGTGGTTGTGTGGTCGCAGAAAGACCCTTTTAAATCGATTCCTTGATTACTTATAAAAATATGTTGAAGCTCCTCAGAATCCAAATTTATATTATTTGATAATGCATTCCCCGAAACCGATATTTTTGCCTCGATCTACTTGACGCATACAGTGATTTATCTCTGAATAATGAGTGTGATTCATAAGACCCGCTGATCAATTGCTATCCACTGTTTCGTAAGTATTTCCCACACTGTGGCTGCATACTATCGTGCTAAGAATACACTACAGCTGATGTCATCGCACTCACTCGCAAAACGTTCATGAGCTTGTGGAAGATATAATACTTTTATACTATCAAAAGGTAAAAGGGCGGCAATCATTTTGACTTCCTGATGGATGCTAGCTGATTTTGCCTATATTCTTCTGATTTCATGGCAATTGTAGGGTAAAAATAAATCCGTCATTTAGAAAGGCGCAATGAGGCCATCGTCACACATTTTCCTCCAACATATAGTTTGTATATTACTCGTTTCTTCAGTTTAATGATGCGCCATGCTGCAAGACGCACCGTCAATATTTTTGGGGAAGGGTCCCGCGCTTAACAGATTCGAGCCAACGATCCTGTAGCAATGTCTTTGTGTTAAGATGTTCGACAACTCTAGGTCAACTAGAGCAAGAGGCGTCTTGACGTTTGCAATTTCGATCGTTAAAGCAGTGAATGACAAGTCATCACCATGGGCAGCAGCATACAATGACAAAGCGTTGAGAGCAAAGTTTGATAGGTAATTTGGAAGCCACCAGTCGCTACCGTTACCAAGCATTTTGAATTTCGCTATGACGTTGCAACTCCATCGCACTACCGATCCGGACCGTCTGGGCTGCTTGATGAACAGTCGATCTTTCCGTTATACATTTCTAGATACCAGGTGTAGAACTTACGCTTATGCGCCTAGTACTACGCCTCGTGGTGTGAAAAAAATGAACTGTTTTGGTCACTTGTAATCAGAAGAAGGTATTATACTTAGCAGATGTCTTAGGGCTATAGAGTTAAGGTCTACTAATGTCTAGGTGAGCAAGAGATGCCGAGTTTACTTGGCTTTGCATCTTACGATTTTTTTTACTCTCCACAGATGTCATTTGATCAAGCTTATCCATTTGAAGGCGCTACTGGTGGGTCTTATTAGCCCATTCGCGAGACCCTTATTGAGCACGGAAAGGTGTGTCTGCTTATCCATGAACTTGTACGTTATAATGAGCACAAGGTAACATATGTGCTGAGCCTGAAAGTGCAGACCACTCGTGTCCCAATTTAGGAGCTCGATTCGACGCCTAATTTGGGCTATGGCGGCGTAGACGTTTGCGTGAGCCGCGACCACGATATCGACCAAACGCATATGAGTCGTAGAGCTCGAGTTCAAAGTTCAGTATATAGCTGTTTAAATCACGTTGTTTGATTCAATTTTCACCTTTATCGCTAAGTATTCGATGTGACGACATTCGATGAAGCCGTCCGATCCGGTAAAGCCCCTCCACTCGGAGCATTCTTCAACGTCATTAAACTTCGATATGTCATTTTTGAGCGTTTTTCTGGCGGACGTATATGCGTCAGACCGACAACAATAACATATTGCAGTTGGCTCACCAGTTCAAACTGCTGAGAACCTCGCTGACGAAGCAAGATGAACTGTTCTACAGCCTCGTCAAATGTATGGTGAATGGACCTGGCAGACGTCGCATAGAGCGGCTCTCCTTTTTGGGACAAACAAAATAGCACGGACGGTACCGACTGACGGTAGAACTCATTGTTTGACCGCGATCCATATTACATTACCCATGTAGATGATGTCTTCACTCGTGTAGTGAAAGTTGTCCTCACACAACAGACCATATTGTGTGACCACTCAACCTTTAAACGAGCCGCGAAGTGCTGTCAAGCGCATTGAGCACGTTCTGCTAAAAACAATGACAGCAGTAGAGACACATATCTCAACACCACACGTACAATCTTGTGTAAGGGATGTATTATTCTTGTGTCGATGGTATATACCATGCCAGTATAAGCAAAATGTGCCCCGTTACAGTGCAAATGCAAGATGTTGGGCAACATCATCTTGGATACGTAAATTAGCTTTTGAATGACACGATATAGTAAGTGCAATATGAATGAATGCAACGTCTGACGAAACTGCAAAGCAACAGAAGGGCAGCTGTGGATATCCTCGATGAAAATATATTACGCTTATGCTTTCGCGAAGTAAGAGATGCTGGACAAGTTGCTTTGAATCGCGCACCTAAAATGTGAAACCGGTGAGGCCTCATAAGACGTATCCTGATATAAACGTTTGAGATCACGCGCGAGAGGCATACTGCACATGAATGTCATTACTGTTAGTGCGCACTTCGCAAACGAGCAATTGATGAGTACGATTGCTCAAATCCCCAAGCGAGCCCGAATCCCTTACTCAGCCCGTGACTTCTCTTGGCGTAAGAGGAGCAATACCCGAGCAACAAATACTGACGACATAGTTCCATCATTCAGCTGGGATGTACCTGCTTTTTGTGCCAAAGTAACCAGTCCAAAACAAACGAGTAAAGTTGCTGCGAAAGTTGTCAATGAACGGAAACTCGTGCGAAAGTGCTACCAGCAACACACGAGTCTTTCACCACATGACGTATCGTGGTTTCTATGTTCTACCACACGTCACTGCTACGCATGCGCCTCAAAAGCGTCAAACAATGTCGTCGCCCCAACTTCAGCAGCGACCGAGCGGTGGCGCGAGCCTGCAAGGAGACTTCCGCGTCGAAGTGCTGGGCACTCAAGAGTCGCTGGACCTGGACTGTGGCAAGTTTTACACGGTTCGTGCCTGCCTTCGACGAAGTATGTAGCTCGACAGCTCTGACAAAAGCGCTCTCGCTTGTGGGCACAGGAATACATTCTGCGCTGCTCGTGGATCGAAAGCAATCAGACGCCAGAGGTCAGTGAACCACAACCGATCTGTGGATTGCTGTAGTAGTGTCCGGCGGTGTCTGAGTTCATCGTTGACGTGGCAGATTTGGGACGTTGTGCGTCGCTATCGCGAGTTCTGCGCCATCGACATTTTGGTACTCTTGTTGGTCAGCTGTACGTGGTGCAGATAATGGACTTACGTTCGATGGCGATTGTGCTGTTTGAGAAGCTGCGAGAAAAGTACCCGTCGCGCGCGCCAATGTTTCCGTTCCTGCCTAGCAAGAAGTACATTGGCTCGTCATTGTCGGCCGACTTTGTCGACAAGCGACAGCGCAATCTCGGCTACTACATCATGTCGATCCTGCACAGCTGTCCGATCGTACGGCTCGGGTGATCGATCGTATTGTATGTTTGTGGTGAGGATTGTACTGACTTCGCTCATTTTGTGTCGGCAGCTCGTGCACGACGAGATCATTGACTCGTTCTTGGACATCAAGCGGCACATTCTAGAGCGCGTGCGGGAGGAACAAAGCGATAGGAACTCGGGGTCGACGGCTGTACTCAGCAGCTACGGACGGCTTTCATAAGCAGCACTGAACAGTGTCACTGAATCGCTATGACCTCATGCGTACACACGTGGTCTGTTTTGCATGTCGTTTGCTTGATTCGGCATTCGACCTCTGTCCGCAAAATAGTGTCGTACAAACTGAGCAGTTGCGTTAGAAATAGAAACGCAGAAAAGGCCGAAGCTTTTGCTTTTGCTCTTGCGCACAAGTTGGGAACGCGATGCGTTCGTCGATAAAATCCAATGTCCGACTTCTGGAAAATCCACGATTTGCTGGCTCGAGACGAGTACAGTCCTGACGTTTCGCAAATTGCAAAACGCCTGACACCCCCTGCCGCGTGATCCGTGATCCTGCCGAATCCGATTATGACCATCACTCTGGTCGAAGATTTTGTGGCGGCGCACACAGCGCCCGGCCTCCGGTAAGTTTGTGAGGGGGGAGAGGGGGGACGGGGAGAGCGAGTTTTTATTTGCCACCGCAGCCGTTCGCCTCCTGACGCCGCCCCGAGTGTGTTTTGCCCGTCCTAGCCACGAGGTTCGACCCGCCGCCTTAGCCGCCCGAGTCGAAGCGAGAGACGGAGAAGATGGCGCTCACGGACCTCATGTCGGTCGAAATGAGCGCCAAGTACATGGACATGAGCAGCTCGTCAGGGCTGTCGGACTCGGACTCGGACGAGCTCTTGTCGTCCTCGTCGAGCTCGTCGGAGCTGTCGTCGTCGTCGTCTGCGATGGCGTCGGACACGCCGCGGGTTTCGAGGAGGAAGGCGAAGAGTGCTCGAGGACAGGCAGACGAGAAGGGCGTTGCCGGTAGGGCTGGAGGAGACTCGAGATGGACGAAGAAGAAGACGAAGACGACGAAAATGACAGAGCGTGCAGCTGTGAAACCGGCGGCAACGGCGAGCAGTGCAAAGCCAAAGAGAGTGGAGAAGACAGAAGCCGGTGCACTTCCTCCGCCGCCTCCGCCACCGCTGTCGCCGACTTGTGCGTCTTCGGATGATGATGGGTACTTGTCCAGTAATAACTCGATCAGTGTCAGCTCGAGCTCGGACTCGTCCGATCTGTCGGACCATTTGGAGATGGATCCCCCGCCTCCGCCGCCTCCTCCCGCTTCTTTCGACCGAGGTGCGACTGCGAGTGCTTTCACAGCGTCAAAGGTATTGCCGTTGACAAGACCGCCTTTTCGAAGACCTCCAGCAACGAAGAACGCGTCGGAAGCGAGTGCTTCGTCGTTAAAGGTGACACTTAAACTCCCGCCGGGATTTCGCGCGAAGCACAGTGGTACTGCGGTGCCTGTTGACAGTCGGATAAAGGGTGATCATCCGGTAACGAATGCATCTAGAAGGACGAGAGCACCGGCGCCCGCTAGTAGTAGGAAAGCATCACTTGCGACAGGGTTGAACTCTCGGCCTTTGAGTCGTGTGCAGTCTGCTGTCGCTAGACGTGGTGCAGAACTCGCTGGGAAGATGAACGGGGCGCTGTTTGCGGAATCTGTGGTTCCAGATGGCCCACGTTTTTCAGCAAAACTGATTCCAACAGGGCCTACTGTACTTGCGGGCGAGGTTCGTGGTGCACGAGAACTGTCACTTGTGAACCCAGCCTACACCGGAAGCAGTCCCGAAGAAATAATTGAGTCGAACATTCCGGCCCATTTCAACGACCCGTGCGCGCAGGAAAGCGATACGCTGCGTCTTTTGGACATGTTTTTCTTTTGTGACGAAAATGGGTACGAATGTCAACACCATTGTGTTCGAGAATGTAAGCCTCACCATTCTGTATGTGTATACTCTGATCACAGCAAAGCAGTTAGTCTCGAGATTCTAGACCGTCCGAGCGACCAGCGTCCGAAAATCATGGCGTTCGGTACAGTCGTCGAGCATTTACCGCTGACGGAACGACCTCTCCCGAACAAGCCCATTCTCGCATCTCCGGCTTTTCCCTCACGCTCTAAGAAGCGTTCTCGGACAGATTCTTCTGTGTCCACGCCTGCAAAGTCTCCAGCTCCGAAGTCAAGAGCGAGGCCCAGAGGTGATTGTCGGGTACCATCGTTTTTCGTGCGTGCGCTGTCGTGTTCTAACACAGTGACATGTCGCCAGGTGACACTAAGCGCGCTAGGTTGGATAGCGAAATGATGTATCAAGGCGACGGCGAATGCGAAGAACGTGAAATGAACGAGCAGTCTGGCATGGGCAAACGTGGCATATTCCGCCATTCGCATGTGTATCGTGCCCTCAGTTCGTTCTCGCTAAGTCGACTGTCGCAAATGGATGGTCATTCTGGCTCTAATAGTGAAAGCAGTGACATGACCTCGGACGACGAAAACATTCGTCGTTTCGACCGCAGTGCAGCTGGTGGAGGTTCAGATAATGCTAGCGAGCTCCAGTTCTCGGCAAGCAATAGCTCAAGTGGAAGTGAAAGCGACGACGATATGCGATCTTCTTCGGGCGGGAGCGATGCCGAGAACAGGGTCGAATTGGCACGAGCGAGCCGGCGCTCAAGTCCTGAGGTTGCAGCAAGAAATCCGTTTCCCCGAAACTCTGTTGATTCCGGAACGCGACCAGCCGGTCAAGTACAGAGACGACCAAGCACCAGAGTGGATTCGAGGAATGCTGGTCTACCTCATGATGTAATCGAACTCATGCGGACCGACCAGGCTGTCGAATTGGACGCCAATGGTACGCCTGACGAGCTTAACTTGATGGAGTGCGGGTTCCGTCATCCACCGGAATATGCTCGCGCTCGTGTCTGGCTTCCTGAAATCACGGATTGGTGCCTGGATTACGCAGAAGGCGATCCCACGTTGTGGGTTGTCACTCCTCATGCCTGGTACAAGATCGCAGGGCCTTTATCAGGCATGTTGCCACACGCATCATACCGACATACTTTCAAGCACGTTCGTCGCTTATTTGAGGCCAGCTACCTTGTGGCGTACGTTCTCAAGGAGTGGCTGCCGATCAATAAAAAGGTCTCGTACCGAGCCACGTTGCAGCAGATAATCGAAGTGTCTCTGAAAGGGAGATACCGGGTGGTACGCTTTGCTGTGCATTGATGTATGCTGGTAGATTGATGACCTGGACTTACTTTGTAACATGTTGCTGTCATTTTATCTTCGTAGTCCGCCTGGTTTCTCGTCAAAAATTACCCCTTTATCCGTGCCCAGGTGTCCAACCTGTTCTCTGACAAAGAGACCTACTTAGAGTCGATGTTTTTTAAGCAGTTGCATCGTCTTCACGAAAATTACACGTTACGCGTAGCACGACACCAAAAGGAAATGGCCGAGCGTGAAGCTCGTCGCGTAAAACGAGAAAATGAGCGTCTTCAGAAAAAACAACGGGACGAGGATGTGCGTCAACGTCTCAAAGATGAGCGTGACGAAGAGCGAAGGCAGAAAGAGCAAGAGCACAAGTACCCTGTGGAAGATTTGCAACTACTCGAAGGAGACGCAGTGAATACAAACAGCTTGCCCTTGAGCTGCTCCAGTTTGAAGGGCATCAAGGGTCCTTTGCTGGGCGAGCTCATCATGGCATGGCAGACGATTTGCACATTCAAGAGTTTTTTGGGGCTAGAGTCAATCTCGCTGGAGGCCCTTGTCGAGTGTATCACGACTCGTTCTGATGAGGGAACCCACGTCGGTCTAGCTCGTATTTTCATGGCATTCCTACGAGTCATCTTGTCGGAAAAGTCGTTCATGTCACTAGTAGATGATCTTGTTGTCGAGAGCAACATCAAGGTATCTGACTTGTTTGTCAATTGCGAAAGAACCTACGGAACATGCGAGCGTGCCTACGGTGACATGCTGAATGCGGTTACCTGGCAAGAGATTCTCCGCCAGCTGATGTCTAAGGATCTTGGAATCGACCCGTCCATTGGACACGTCGAGCCTTTGGTTGGCTGTGAGATTGTCCGGCAAACGCTGTACATGCAGAACAATTCTGCTCCCTTCAACGCTCCGGTCGATATGACTACAAAAGGTCTGGAAGACTACACGCAAGTCATCAAAAACCCGATGGATTTGGGCACTATCAAGAAAACGATCGATTCGGGAGGCTACGAGGGACCCGATGGGCACAAGAAGTTTGCAGAAGATATTCGATTGGTGTGGGATAATGCTGTGCTATACAATGGTGAGGAATCGGAGGTAGGTCGCGCTGCGGTGGCTTTGTCCGACGTGTTCGAACAAGATTATGAAAGGCTTGTCGTCGGACGCATCCGCGCGAACCAGAGCCGGATCGAAGAGTGCGAGAAGGCAAAGGAGAAGCTGAAAGACCCGTTCGCGAAAGAGCTCGAGTCGTTTCAATACGCCGATGTTGTCTACGGACTATACTGTTTGGAGTTTCATGAACTTCCATCAGCATACAAAATCGGTGCGCTTTCATGGATTTGCTCGGAATTCCTGACGCTGTCTAGCGTGCGGGCGTATTTGGCAGACCAAGTGGAACAGGAGATGCTGATCTACAAGAACCATAGAAAGCGCGCGGCCGATTTGGATTTTAGCCGAAAACAGTCGGATAAAATGCGCCGTGAAAGGGAGAATGCGTTCAGGAGAGATTGTGCCAACCAAGGCATTCATCCCAACTCGCACAACGTGTTCTCGGAAGGCATCAAACGCCGCCACAAGTTCATTGGAAAGTTTTTCGAGGACATCCAGGCTGAGAAAGTTGAAGATGAGAAAACCTTGGAGCAGGAGAAAAAGGCCCAGGCGGAAGTACTGGCGAACGAGTTGAGCTCAATAGTTATTCGCGAGTCTCCTTTGGGAAGAGATCGGTATCACAACTCGTACTATATGTTCAGGAATGACACGAAGCCACGACTGTTTATCGAACGTGGAGATACGGGAGATTTTGTGGTGTGTGGTAGCAAAGCGCAGCTAATGGAAATCATGCAGTGGCTAAATCCAAAGGGCGTCCGCGAGCTTGACCTGCTAAAAAAGTTGCAGTCCGTGGAAGACAAACTGATTGATTATTTCCATGAGAAGCAAGATGGGAATATGCTTGAGATCGTGTGGAATACTACGGACGGCATCGAGCTTCAGATGTTTCCTCTCCGCGGCGGCGTATGGCATAACGGGGCTGGCGGTAAGAGTGAGACCGTAACAATCACGGCCGCGGACGGAGTCATCAATGCACGAAGCATCGCCCAGAAGATGTTGATCTACTTGAAGCAGCAGCTCGTGAACACGAAAACGTTGCCTGCTTCGTGGGAAGGAGCTCAAACGTGGAGCAAGCGTGTCGTAGAGGCAAAATCGTTCAAGGAGCAGCTTGATTTGTTTGCTGAATTGGAAAGTACCGCGGTGACGACCTTGAGCTCGGGAGCGGAGACGATCCGACCTTCGTGGCAGCGGAAGCGACGTGAGTGGCGATTAGCCCTGGAAGGTTCTTGTACATACGCGCAGATGGTGCTTCTGCTTCATTTGCTTCTGGAAGAGTTCATTAACGTAGAGGCTTTCCTGGATTTGAACATTCGCTTGGATCGGAAGGAGTGGCTTAAGCTGCGACCGAAAGAGACCCGAAATTTTATTCCTGAGCCAGGAGCAGTTGTTGTCTATTTCGGGGATGGTCACGCACTCGCGTTGAAAGAAGATGAGAAGTCCAAAAGAAAACGTTTTACCCAGAACAGCGACACTCCTGCTCGAGATGTAACGGTCATTTGCACGGTGAAAAGTGTATCATATCACCACGGTGGCGGTGACCCCTATGCGTTGGCAATGTTACAACCCATCACAGATATGTCGCGACACGAATGCGCTCGCAAGCCAGGCAGTCTTCTGTGTCCTTTGCCATCACGAGAACAGAGACTAGCTCGAGTGTTCCTGCGCGTTCTAGCTAGATTGAAGATGCTAGCTGATGCCGTTCCGTTCCTGGAGCCCGTTTCTAATCGGGAGTTTCCTCAGTACAAGGAGATCGTGTTGCATCCCATGGACCTCGGTAAAATGGCGAAGAAGGCGAGCGAGCTGAAGTATGACACGGAGGCCGAGTTTATGGCTGACCTGAGGCTCATCCGGGACAATTGCCAGCTCTTTTGTGAAGGTCGTTTTCCAACACTCCCGCCGTTAGCCAACAACTTGGTCAACGTAGCGGATGCACAGATTAAGAAATGGGGCAAAGAAATTCGTGCATGCGAAGACACCCATGACAATCCGTCGCTTGTAGAGAAAAACAGCGCAGCTCCATCGTCTCCAGAGAAGAAAAGCGAGTCGACGAACGAGGACGAGTCAATTGTTGACGGTGGGAAGCTGCCGACGCGTTCGATTGTCACTATGTTGCGATTGGAAAACCGATTGACTGAGTATATCGTGGACACGAGTCGCTACTTGCGGGCTGTAAACCACACGTGGCGATGCGGAGAAAAATTCCGTATGCTCTTCCGTAACCCACAAGGTCAACCAGGCGAGTACTATGGAGGCGTGACTGCAGGATCTTTGCCGTTTGACAAATACGGGATGCTACCGTGGGAGTCATTGCGCATCACCTGGGACGACGATGACGGATCGGACAACAATCGCATAAATCCATGGTGCGTAATTCGGATGATGCATATAGTGTATCAGGCATGTTTCTCACGTATTGTTTTTTGTCGCTGTTACAGGGAAGCGGAATTAACCGAGGCGGGATCAGCGCGAAAGTGAAGATAGACGAACGAGCTCGTGTGCTCACCGGTTGCAACGTAGACACATAGCAGCAGGCTGGCGTGTGGGCGGAAACGGATACGCTAGTTTGCGCCAAGCTGTGGTGAGAATCGTTCAGTTTCGCCGAAGGGTTTGTATCCGTCGCCTAACGCCACGCGTCGATATTGGCCGGGTCCGCTGTGTCCCGTTTGCAGTAGACTTGGCTAGAAACGAAACCCTGCGACTTGATGAATTCCATCGTGGCACGGGCGTGTCAGCAGAACCGTTTCGTAACGTCAGACACTCAAAGCTCGACTCCTATTATTATGCAAACATGATGTGGATCAACACGCGCATGGCCCTCTATCGTGCATACATATGGTCTGCAAGCTCACCAATTTGCACTCGCGTCGATGCACACCGGAACAGGCGTGACGGAGGCTGCGCCTTCTTTACCAGCAACCCGGCGATGGATCGCTGGCACCACACGTATGCACCGTTCACTCGCAGCAGGTGCTTCATTTGCGCCTCATGGCTTCCAGACGATGTCGAAGGCATTTGGTAGCGCGTTCGCAGAGTCTGGCTCCAGCGTGGATGTGCGAGTTATACGCCAAATGGACGTGAGTCTTGAAGACTCTCTCATCAGGACTGTCGACAGGTCGTTGCGTCTGCGGCAGCTTTGTTGCGGACCACTACTGTTCGTTTGCTGCTCAGTTGCTGCAAAAGTGTCACGACCATAGCCAACGTCGCTGTGCTACTAACGTCATTGCATGGATTCATGTATCGCTCGAGGACGGATCGCGGCAAAACGTTTTGGCCTTATGCCGAACAAAAGCCTGAGAAGACCGGAGCGGCTGCCACACTCGCCTTTGCGTACATTTATCGGACGTTCTTTGTCAGGCATATGGACACGAAAGAAGTCATACGATGCACCGCTCCTATCCACGAAAGAAAGTGCTCCATGCCAACGCTCTTGACCGTCCGTACGTATAAGGGCAGTGGAATAGTCGACTCTCGCGACTAGAATACACTATGGCGAGCTTAGCCTGACCTCGGCACGACCACACATCTGCCTACTCAAGACATGATCACTCTTTCTGCACAACCTCAAGTCTGTCACATGCTCTGCACCGTCAATACAGTCAACCATTTCGTTCGGATAACGATGCTGTCCACATTGTAGCCTTGTGATTGCTTTGTTTTGGTCACTAGCAAAGTCGGAGCTGTATGTGTGCACCAATGGGCATATTCGACGCGCGGCGTGACTAGCACTTTTACATCATTACAGTACGAAATGGACCAGCAGAGCATATATTGCGCGTGAAAACGCACCGTGTCGTTTGTGGCTTACCAATGTACAAACGGGTGCGCCAAAGAGATCATGACGCATTCCACCGCAGTACATCGCAAAGTGATAACATAACGGCCTTCTTTCTTGGCGTAATGAGCCACGTCGCTGGTTCTGCACAGCCGCAACTGCCCACTTACTTGAATCTGCTGACTTGGTGACATCAGCGTTATCTCTGCCTAAATTACCTGCCTCGTGCGTTCCCTCGTCAACGTAAAGCGCGATCCTCTATTCCTGGACTCTTTCCTGTCGCTTCCTTTTCCTTGAGTATACTCGCTTCGGTGGCCGGACCAGATCTCGAGCACTTACCGATGTGTAGCTGACTCGGCCTCCTCGCTCGCTATCAATGCTGCCGCAGCAACATCCTCGGGTTTGCTGGTTACTCCATCAACCGTGCGATCTATCTCACCGGCTTCTTGTACACCATTACGCGAATTCTTCTTGCTCTTCTTTTTCTTCTTCCGCTTCTTGCTGCCATCCACGGCATTGTCTTCCGGCCACGCGACGTCGTCCATGAAGCCCAGTGAACGCGCGAATTTAGACCCGTGATCTATTCCGGTGTCCTGCTCCTCACTCTGTACTTGCCACGAATTATCCTGGTACCCCTGGGGAACGGAAAATCCTAGACCATTTATGCAAAGCAAAGTCGTATGCTCACGCAGCTCCTGCTCAAAGGAACGCCATGTCGTGTGCGACTGCAAGAAGTTGCGCAAAAACGCGTCAGGCGACTGCGAGGCTGCTTGTAGGCGAATAGCGTTACAAATTCGTAGAATGTAGCCCTTATTGCTCGTGGAATCGCCGTCTGCGCGGTAGTGCTCCACTAACAGCGTGACCAGCTTCAGCTTTTTCACAAGCACCTCTAGTGCCTGCTGATTGTCCGTCCGTAGCGCTATAAACACAAGCTGGTAGAAAGCTGCATGGTACAGGTTGTTGTGGGAATACTCAAAGAACCACGTGAGCAGCACGCGCCAAACATTAGCGTCAAAGTGTTCACTCATCAAGCGCGGGTTGTGCGCCATGATCTCCACAAGCGTCTCAGCAAGCATGAGACGCAATTCCGTAAACGGCACCTTCACCACATAAGCCGTGTGGCGAACTGCACTTGCTGGTAGTGGCTTTCTCGATTCTCCACCTGGCATCTCAATGTTCTGCTGACTCACATACTTCTGAATGAGGTAGTTCAGTAATTCGCCCAGGTGCTGTTCAACGAGCTGGTAAATCTTTTCACGAAGAGGTCCTAGCTGATTCGGCACGAGATTCACGATCGTTGCGCCGAACGACTGGTACGGACTCGTCGGTGGCCCTTGCACTTTTTCCAGCTTGCTCTTCTTTAGCAGCCGAAACACGCACTTCATTGCAGCAGTGCGTTGTGCCACCGTCCTTTGTGGTGCTGTCTTCTTGCAGTCTGGCTCCACGGCTGCAGAAACCAATCCCTCCAGTAGCTCAGAACAGTACGCAGCTGGCTGCAGAAGCAACTGCCCATTCTCATCCGCCGCAAGACGATCGATCAGCTCTACGAAGACGTCTGCAGCCCCAATCGAATGGGTCTCTCCGTACTCAGTGCTACAGACATGCGTTGCTAAGACAAGCAGCACTTTACACTCGGCCAAGGCTCGGAAGAACGCCCACTTCTTCGGAGGCGTCGACGTGTAGAACCTCATGACTGCTGCACTATGAGGTTTGCAGATGATGGTCAAGAACAGCTCTGCCACGGGAGCGTACTCCAAGTACGGCAGCATCGCGCCCATGTATCTCTCGACGGTCGACGCATCTTTGCCCAGCACGTCGTACACGTCGTCCAGATAGAAGCGCAGGAGCTGGTCAATCACGCGACACGCGTGGCGCAAATTGCCCCGGGCGTCACTGTCAAACACGGCAAAGAAACAGCGCGTCAGGAGCTTGCTCTTGTCCCCGAGAAACGTCAGCAAGGCCTCGGCCGTGTCGTCATTTGTCAGCAACATCGTCGCGCGGTACGACGTGAGCAGCTCCGGCGTCACGTTGTCCAGTGTCTCGTCTTTCCGGCGAGTCGTTACGTCCACTGTGCTCGCGCGTTTGGCTCTCGTCGGACCGTCCGGGAACGCCCCACTCGCGTCATTGTCGTCGTCGTCGTCGTCGTGCACCGCATCGACGCGAGTGATAAAGTTGGCAAAGCGCAAGAGCGACACGTCGTTGCTCAGTGCCGAGACGAGCGGCGCCGTCACGACGGGGTCGTCCTTGGCGAGGACCGTGCGGACGAGCGCATTGGACGAGGCGGTCGTGGCGGGACTGGGCGCTGCCGAGGACCGGCGGCGAGAGATTGTCACTTCGGTCATGACTTTTGTGCCAGACAGATAGACAGATAGACAGACAGACAGACAGACAGACCGACCGACAGACCGACAGACCGACAGACCGACAGACCGACCGACCGATAGACTGCCAGCGAGCGAGTCAGATGGAGGAGCGGACGGACGGACGGGTGGACGGAATGGACGGATGGACCACGTAATTGGACGACGGGGGAGGCTGACTGACTGACTGGTTTGGCGATGGGCCCAAAAGAGCTGTTGGGCTCAAGTAGTGTACAATTTGTGGACGCTAAAAAAAGGGAAGAAGGATACTGGAGGCGACCGTCCGCTCGTTAGTGGATGATAGCAGATTATGGGTACGTAGTGGTCGTAGTCGTGGTACTTGTGATGGTAAAATGGGATCTGTCGCCTGTTTGCTTGTCTTTGAGCAAGTGACATCGTGCCCACCCATACCCGACTACGAGTCGTGTTCAACCAGTTTAGCTCGCGTACACTCCTTTATCCTGTGTTGCGTATCATTGACATCGTGTCTTAGTTTGTCGAGATGGTGACGTTGATGGCGTTGGAATTCTTGCAATTTGTGCATCGCTTGTGTGTAGAATGGGTAGGTAGATGCTGCTGCCTTCGAGTACCGCGGGAGTTTCTCCAGCACGAGAGCGTAGTGGCAGCTGCGAGCAAACGGCGTTGAGACACGAAACCTGTCGGGCGCGCTGGCGTTGGCCACGTGGAAAATGGCCGGCCACAGCCGATGGGTCGAGTCTGTAAAGATGAAGTAGCTGCCGTCACTGCATTGTGAGAAGAGCGACTGGAGGAACACGTAGGCGCTGTCACGCAGGAGACAGGAATTCTCGACGCACACAAAGGAGAAAAGATGCAGCTTCGTGGACTGAAGGGAGCAGCGCACGTCGTCGTTCTCTGCAGCACACATGTCGAGCGTAATGTCGCATTGCTGGAAGCTCAGCGAGACGTTACGTTGGCCAAGTTGGCCCAATGTCTGCTTCACGGCATCGATCGCGCCTTTCCAGCCTGGTTCGTTGTCGTATATTGTGGCGTGAAACTCCACGTCCCAAGCTCGAAAGTAGTCCCGCATGAAGACGAGTCCGAGCACGTCATAGGCCGGGCCTCCACCGTATAAAGCCACGTTCCAACACTCGGACTGATTGCTTCGGAACAATCTCGACCGCAGGTCACACAGCTCTTCACTCAGCAGCAAGTTCGGTACATTCCCGCAGCGATTGATCTTCTGTTGAATGTAGCCGCTCCGAGCATGAGCGTTCGTAAACGACGGTCGCCGGCCTGTGTTCGTGGACAAACAGAGCCCTCGTTTGAGCTCCATGGTATCCGTTATAGCGATCGAAGGCAGCAGCTCAAGCAGGTGTGGCAGGAACGCATGGCTTTCAGTGCGGATGAACGAGGTCCACGCGTGTCGAAACGCGCGACTGCGTAGATTCCACACCGAGTTTTTAGGCTGTACAGCACCTTCATCGCTGCCACGTGATTGCAACCAAGTGCACGTGTAAAGCCATCGTCGGCTAACTCGTCGGAGGTCGCGGCGCTCTTGCAAAGACAGAAACGATGCCACTACTGCGCCACACTCGCCATCCATTTTTGCAAACTGTAAGTAATACTGTGGGGGACACCTTGTACCGTGTGAGAGAGAAACGTGTGTGCTCACTTATCGGGAAAAAGCACAAGATCAAAAAGCAACAGCTTGCTCTGTGCTGTCTACTAGTGGTCACATTACAAGCGTGTCCAGAGGCCAGGTCGTCTCCAGTTGCCTGCTTGGTCTGATCGAGCTTAACACTATTTCACGCTCTGGTGGACATGGGAACCGAGTCTCATGAGCACATCTGGGCCCAATAACTCAAATCTGATAGCTGCAATTATCTGGTCTCAATCAGCTCATGTGTAATATGCCGTCATATCGCGGGCTGAACCAGAAGCGAAACATGCTGAAACGGGGTTACACGTCGGTTGATAACCGATTTAACAGGTGTGGTTCACACCAGCGATGAGATCCCATTGAAAGTGATATTAGAACACCTTGTCAGTTGTTGGGGCTGACGTGTGTCAGCCACCAGATACAAGATCTTTAAAAAAGGTACTAATTAGAGCTTTAGTGTCTAGATTAGGTACGTTTAGTCTAGGGTGTCCTGTTACATAAAAACAAAATATAGTTCAGTTCCCCTTTTGATCTGTTAGAGACACGTGCCTTGTTAAGGCGTCTCAGGTCGTATAAAGAATAGTCAAGCCTTCCTAAGGCGTCGACTTTGAGCACTCTGTACTGTTGATTTTACCAAATCGTTTAGTCCCTCGAACGAGGACCCTTAGCTTTGAGCTTGTTGACTCGTAGAGTCGTATTCTTACAAAGAGCTAAATTGCTCATTTAGCAGAAAGCCTCCCTCTGACTAGGAGCTACACCAGCTCCGATACACCTGCAGTCCGATAACTCAATGGTGGCTGGAACAGTAATCACGAATACGCCAACCAAAAAACTACGTAGCTATAAAGAATCGAGCGCGCTGTAGTGTAATGCATCGATCCCAGAAATCCGAAGGACTAGAGAATTGAGTATCGTTATTCTTTAATTTCGACAGGCTTATGGAGAGCTGAACACCGCCACATCGAAAGTTGGTACTATAGAATCCGAAAGTGGCAGGCACTGGAATAAAACCATTTGAGGCCATGTTTTCAGGAAAGTCTGGATACGCTCGACTACAATGAATGCCCGTGGACTCGAAGCCGTCGATACACGACGCAGATTTTCGGCGTGGACACCACGAGCTGCTGCTCACCATTTCTCCACTGCCGACATTTTTTCTCAGTCAATCACAAACGTCCTAAATAATTTGAACAACCTATAGATTTTCGATCGTGCGATCTAAACAAGACAAAGAGATTGAGGTTTCTCTGGGTTCGCGAACGACTCGCTACATTCACGCTCTGTATATGAGAAAGTACCCGGCGTACCAGAGCAATGTAAATTAGGCGAAGCACAGCAGAAGCAACGACCGTTGACGTGAAAGGTGCCAACACTTAGGTCCCTCGTTGTAGTGCTTCGACTTCAGTCGGGTGTGAAATTGATTCCGCCACGTGTATCTTTTGGCTCTTGCTACGCAAGCAGACGCACAGGCTTGATGCATCGTTCTTCCACTTCACCTGCGATACGCTTGTGTTGAGCTGCACATGTATCCTTGTTTTAGTGACCGAAGCCCTTTACCACAGGCTGTGTGGCGATATTAGCAGACTATATCTTACCGAGCTGTGGATGCATGCCTTGTAACAGGGTCACACGACGAAGGTGATAATCGATAGCGTTCTTTTGTGATGTATAATATGTAAGCGGTACTACCGTACCTTGGCGACTATGAATTAGTATTCATCGTAAGGTACACTACCAAGTACGTGGACATCATTTTTTGATGTGGTAGACATTGGAATAGCCAATGTTAGAATTACTAGATCAGGAAGTACAGCCTTAATTATTGGAACTTAAATTGGGTTTATTGTCGTCGAAAAGAAGTATTAATTTTTGATTCTCGTTTTCCCCAATAAGTGACACGTGCTCTGTCAAGGCGTGACCAATAGTGAGAATTGACGAGCCTTCCAACAGGCGTATACATTTAGGCAACAGTTGACATACTATTAAGAATCTTTAGTCCCATAGAAACTGCTACGGGCTCTACCAGCTTGTCGACCCTCAGAGACGTTACAGATAACTCTCATGAGCTACTTTTTCCTAATGTGTTTAAGTAGTTTGTTCATACACAACTGATTGATTTTGTAAATCCAAAGAATTACTCCGACACTAAGAGATGTAGCAGCGTCACTAACGTAATCGGCTCACGACTACCGATTAGTACTAAATTCGAATATTTTATTGCGATAGGTTATAGAAATGGTCTCCGACATGTCAATAGATGGGCAAGACGATCAACTGTAGACTGCAGTACGCAGGAAATTTGCTAATACTCTGATATAATCGTCACAAGTCAAATGCAACAAAAAACTTTCGTCACCGTTATCCACTCACCCTAATGCACTCAAACTAAAATAAAGCCGCGTTTCGAGTCTAATGGAAGGAGCAATAGGCTCAAAACACCGCTTGGTTCGTAGGGCCTATATATCAGCTCTCAGAGTCGACTAGTGCACGTAGGTCTCCAGACGCTCAGATCTAGAAGATTAATTCTTTAAAGCACTACGTACTCATTTTTTTATAAGAAGTCAACTTACTCGCAGATTTCGCAAAATTGTTTTTTTAGCAAAGCATCGTATATACAGGTGGCAAAAACATGGTTTATATCTACAAATTACAGGTTTTACCTAGATCATAATGTACTTGTTTAGGAGCGCATTTAAGTGTACAGAATATCAGAATACGCGTCCCAAACTCTATTCTAGTGTTCCTACTGATGAGCTGCACGAAACCCAACCTAGAACTTTCGGAGGCTTTGCGTACGATACATCTATCGCACCTAAATAATTCACATGGTAGCTGGTGTATCGACTAGGACAGGTGTGTCCGCTATGACAACTACATCTCCAAAACATTTCCTTTTGTTATCTTGGCATTCATCTAAGGACAACCCCACGGTTGCCCCATAATCACAAGCCACGTGGCGTATCAGGCATCAGCATAATACTAAAACAGTATTTTAAGCGATTAGATGGTTAAACAAGATATAATTTGTCTTAAATCGTACGAGGAACCGAATCAAATATACTCTGGCAAAGGGTTATTGTATCCGCGCACATATCCCCGAACTGGGTTCCGCCATTGCACTTGTCGTGGTGGGCTTCTATTAAGGGCTTCAGCTTTGTGTTGGTAGCAAATGGCATCGATGCAACAACAAGAACAACAATAAAAATAAGGACAACAAAACAAAAACGACGTCAACAAGAAATTTGGATAGATGATAATACTTGCCTAAATTCTAAGGTGGTTGACCTGATTCGAGATAGAATAAAGCGCTTCCAGCCTCCTACTATTGACAAGATAATTCGCCAAGTTGCAAGATAATCACAGGTAGGGTGAGCCACCAGACCCGAGGCAACGACGCCTAGCGAAAGCGCTGCACAGAAATCTTCTTGCGGTAAATGAATGACACCACAAATACTACAATGGATCGATGATTGTTTGAATTATATAATTAGGATTCTTGTGCATCAGTATCCTCATTGAAATTAATCCCCGTTGTGTATTATATTGGGGAAGCGGGCATATAACGTGATATACACTTCACCCTATCATTGACATCCGAGCGAGCGAGGCATTGGAGAATATCCGTTTAGAACTGGAACCTCGTTATTGATTTGCAACGATAGAGGAAAAATGTATTGAGTGCATCGATTGTAATATAATGTTTCACCATGCGCTTATGCGCACACAAGTGCTTTAGCTTAAATACACGACCACAGAACATTTCATAGCATCAACATTGGTCCCTAAATAGCCATGTCTAATCTAGCAGGCTTCTTAGGCATCCAGTTGACCCCGTACAGGCGTATAAACCGTCATTGTCCTACGAGAATGTAGCCTGAGATTAATATCGTTTCCCATAAGTTCTTGTACCCTGGATAACCACACTATTTACTCACCAATGGTATTGCAATTTACGACGCCGCCGTTTATCGCACATTGTAAGCATGTATAGGTGGTGCCTTACTTGTGTAAACCAAAACAGAAGGGTTTAGCTGCATCGACAGAAGCCTATGCCTGATCCGTCATTGATCGAAGATCTCCTACACGAAGTACAACGTTTTTGTAAGCATATTAAAAGCTTGCGTGCGGTCGAGCATCGTGTTGGAGCCCTGAGGCAAGCTCTACCGTTATTTGTCAGCTAATATCCTCATGAGGTTACGTAAAGGCGTCAAATTAGTCACCCTTGTCAGCGCAAGCATAAATTTTTGTCGTGGTTTGGAAATTCACTTCGGATAAAAACAAAAAAGATGTAGAAAAATGTAGTGCGCGCAACTTTCGCTAACGTCTAAGCATATACACGAGATTTTTCTTGATCATGATAGTGATAGTTCAGATCAAGCGCAAGCGCAACAATTTGTTTAGACAGCCGACACTAATTTTGTAGTCTAAGTTCATAACATATAAATTCGGGTCATCGACCCCATGCTTTTCCATACATCCCCTTACTGTCGCACCCGCTTCTTCGTTTTGCTTGGGGTATCCATGATTCATTAGAACTTGCCCATATCGTAGGGAATTTAATCGCGTTTCGAGAAACATAATGCCTTTTTAGAACATTTAAATGGATGACATCATCAAGCAGATCGACTACTACCCCCAATGCGGCCATGGTCAATTTGTGGTAGCGCTAATAAATTGTGCGGATGTGTGAGACTAGTCGCTTGAAACTGAGCGTAATTGTTATACTCATTTATGAAGTTATTTCAAACCGTGTAGATTTTCCGTTATATTTTCGCTCATCCAAGATCGAGGTGAACGCCGATAGGCAAATGATCTGCCGTGGACATGTTTATTCGGATGACAGCGACTATGGAGATGTGCTTCCAACCCTAACGTTTTTTATAATTGCAATAGTCATAAGCGAATCATGTTGAAGATATGATCGACTGTTGAATGTCTTGGAT